GCACGCTAAAATAAATTACTAAAGGCTGGCCTGATATCTTCAAACCCGCAGCAAGGGAACAATGACACCCCGAGATTTGATACACTTTCCGTGTGCATCGTCATGTTGGAGGTTATGATGCAAACCGGGTCACTTCAGCTCAACCGGTACCTACTGCGCTTCGAAACTAAGGCATTCCGAGATGCACAGAGCTTCTTGACAACACACACCCTGACAATCTAGACCCCTCAGCAGCCAAATGCTTGCCACAAGGACCCCGAGATGAGGGACACCCAGTCGATTTCCAGAATCTTGTAAACGAAGCACAACCATGCACACGCGCACATATAAATGTATACGCACGTACATGTCTAGTTAGACGGATATACAGATACATAGAGAGATACAGAGATAGAGATGGAGACAGAGCGAAGGGTAGAGATAGAGATGGCGATGGAGATAGAGACAGAGACAAAGATGTAGACACAAATAGAACTTTCTCGGGTCTCAAGCGGATTTGTTTGTGTTGAGGGATATATTAGAAATGCTTCACAGTGTCATAGTATCAGCCCTAAACCTGCAGACTGAAATCCCATCAAGCTTTCTGGAACCCTTAAGCGACCCTGTAGAACCACTTGAGGTCCAATGGGGATGTCCTGCCCTAACCATCCCCCTGTACAGAAGCCGGCCTGAACGCGTTCGCCAATGGAGGGTCGATGCCGATCATGTCGAACCTATGATGTCGGGCTTTCGGGTTTACACAAGGGTAGGGTTGTTCGGCTTGTGGCTTCGGGCTTGAGGCTTAGGCCTGGGGAAGCGACACCTTCCTGAGAATCCATCAAAACTTCAGCAGCACCCCTGCAGCGCAGCGTATTCTGTTCTTGAGGAAACGCAGCAAGCCCACTACTCGCGTGTTACACCTTGCAAATTGCACCAAAACCCTCTTCTTGCTATTAAGGCCCGGATCCTAGGCGCCTGAATAATTAGAATAGTCTAGTTATTCAGGCTCCTACAGTATCCCCTGAGGCCCCGTCTCAACCGTTTCGGCGCTCAGATGTTGCACGGAGATGCTAAAGCCTTTCTTGAAGGCGGCATGGTCCTCGCCGACCCAGTGAGTAATTAGGGAACCAAAAAGGGAGCTTTATACCACAGGGCTACGTACCATAAGCGTTGCCAGACAGCAAATTGCACACCACGGGTGGAGAATGTTTATGGTTTTGGGGAGAAGGGCTTGCAGCCTTTTGGGATCTGGCGTGCAGGCGTCTAAGGGTTTAGGGTTTAGGGCTTATAGAGTCTAAGCTTTAGGGTCTGGCGTCCAGAGTGTGGACTTAAGGTCTCGGTGGATCACGGCTCAACCCTTGCAACGGTCCCAGGAGTTGTCGATTCCAAGGGCTGCAAAGGCACCGCAGAAGTCCTGCCAATCGCTACGATCTGGAGTTGGTTCTTGGCTTAGGGCTTTCAGGGTCTTGAGCTTGGGGGGAATTCGAGAGAGAGGTTGATGATTTGACACTACTGACCAAGCCGCCTCTGGTGTTTAGGATGATAAGAAACCTAGTTTCATGGTCCGTAGAGATGGGCGTTCTGTTGTTCACGGACCAGCAACAGTCGTACTAGTCTGGTCCGCATGGCAGCGGTGATGGCGTAATGCTCACAGTGCCAAATATTCACCTCATTCAAACACAAAACAACTGTGCTCAATGTTCTAGGCAAAGACCTACCCAGATCGCCGGGAGGATCCAAAAAGTAAATCCCCTAATTTGGGGCCCTATACTCCTAAGTCTGCAAAGGGTACTTTGTAGGAACCCCCATTCAGGGATCTACCTTTTGGGATCCTCCCGGGGTTCTGGGTTCGGGTTCTAGACCTAAGAGTAACCTAGGAATAAAAAGGGTGCCCTTTTGGGGGTAAAGGGGCTTATGAGAGAACCTGAACCCTACAAAAAGGGAATAAGGGCCTACTCTCGGTCCTAGTGTTTAGGGCTCCGAACTTCAGCATCTAATCTTGACCAAAAGGTTGACAGATGCGGCCCGCGGTGCGTTCAAGGGGCTTTGGCTTGCATTGTCGCATGATGGTATTTTTTACAATACCTATAGTCTCCATTGTAGTCCCTTTTGTTGACTAACCAAAATCTGTATTTTACGATCCTAACCATAAACTTGGTTAATTAACCAAAAGAAGGAACTACACTGGAGAGAATATTCGTAGTATTAGGGAACCCTGAAACTACTATCACTCATGATTCAGGCTTCTACACACCCTTGTCCTTTTAGAAATAATAGACAGAGCCCTATACCTATATCCCTTAGTAGGAATGATTTGAGAAGGTCTACTAGCCGGTCTGTTTATTCTTTTGGGGGAACCATAAAAAAGGACAAGGCTGCTTCTACATGGACCCGGAGCGGAGCCCCGCAGAAACACTCACACATGGCATCCATGTTCTCATATGGGAGTTTCCGAACATAGGGGACCCTAATATAGTACCCTAAATAATAGGATCCTTATTGTAAGGAGCCTAAAATAAGGTACCCCCCCCCCCCCATTTTCGGAAACTCTCAGATGGTACGGCATGAGAGAATACAGCTTGATGTAGCATCGTACTCTGCAGTATAATAGGCCAGGTGCGGAATACTCCAGGCGAGTAGTATCACGACGACACGGGCTACATGAACATCATCCCCTACGGCTCCACGTACCCATATAGTATACACTTAGGCCTTAAATGACCTATATAGGGACCCCTTTAAAGCCTAAGTATCTACTATAAAGGTACATGGAGCCTTTGGGATCATGCAAACTTGTCTAAAACCCAAAGCTCTCGGCCCAACACTGCAAAACCTTATCCTCGACCCGACAGGCTACATGGAAAACAATAAACCTCACACTCTGCACTGCTGAATTTGGTACGAGACATGATCATAAGGCCCCCCCAAAAAAACATCCTACACGCATGAATCTCAGAAGCCCAAAAGCCCCAAACGCACCAGAAAACTTATGAACACGCCCAGTTCTCAAGAGCAGTCAAAGTTGAGTCATCGCCTCAGCCCTATATCCGACACCTAAACCGGAATCCCCACACGCCAGACTCTCAACCCCAGACTCAATCCCCAAAATCTCTCAACCCCAAACTGAAGAAAAAACTTTCTGAAACCCTTCCAGCACTAAACCCTAAACCCTCAAAAGCCCTAAAACCTTTCAGCCCTTAAAGCCCTAAGCCCTAAACCATAAAGTCCCTAAACCCTAAAAGGCCGTAAGCCCTAAACCCTCAAAGCCCTAAAAGCCCTGAGCCCTAAAAGCCCTAGTTCGAAGCTTCGAAAGCCTTGGAATCGACGTTGGCCGGGCCCTCCGTGGTGAGGCGAAGGAGCTTTTGCTCTTCCCTGGCCACCCTCGGCTGGCTTTGGGTTTAGGGTTTAGGGTTTAGGCGTTAAAGGCTTAGGATTTATAGGGGTTTACCTGGATCTTCCTGTGACCCCGTTATTTCAGACATGACCCACTGTGTCATGAGTCGGCAACATGATTTCGGTATTCTGGCTAATTTCGGGCTTCAGCCCCGAAAGTGCATCGCCGGCCTCTTTGATGTTGGCAGTAATGCAGAAAGGTCCAAAAGTAAATCGTTCGACAGGAAAGGTCCGATTCTTGCTAGAGGCAGTCATTTCGACCCATGTTCTACTGATCTAGGTAAGGAACACTGCATCTGCAAGGAAGTTTTATACCATCTTCAGAAAGGGTGTCTTGTGACCTGTTTACAAGTCGTAGTTGGCTCCTTGGCAGTGATCTCATGGTGACAAGGCACGCCGCCACCCCCCCATGCACGTTTTGTGCTCGCGCTGCTCTCTGACTTGCAGTTGCTCTGAGTGAACAGCAGCGCCCTTGACCGTGGAGCCATTTACAGCATTCGTGCGGTGACGTTCTAGAATCTATATATACAAAAAAACAACCACCTTCAATTGTATAAGGGTCGGGTATCAACTGATGGCGGCTAAGCGTCCAACGGTGGACTACGAAGGAGCTTCAGCATCTTCTGTTGTGATTCGTTCATGCAGACTCGTCGTTTGGGTGCTGAATTCTATAGGACTCCTGGATCTTCCTGACGAGTTTTGGACTCGTGCTAAAGCTGCTCTAGGCATTGACAAGGAGGCATCTGTGAGCAAGAGACAGGTTTTGCGCACATTATGTGTTGACAAGCGGCCTGAGTTTGCTTTGTGCAGGGCATGACGGAGGAGCATGCAAAATCTGTCATCAAGGCGAACTACCATGCCGGTGGGTATGCACATCATCTTGCAGGTGTGTATCGCATGCGTAACTTGGCTGATGCCACAAAGCCGTACTTCATGCCCAGTACTTAAAGTCAGCATGCACATACCGTATAAGGTATGGTGGAAGCAGCCACTTGCCTGCAAAAAGCTGTCGTTGGCTAGATCAGTCAGGAGCTCCACGGTAGCGGCTTTTTCGTGCTGTGTCAGTGCATCTCAGGAGGCTCGAGGCCACACCGCAGCAGCAGCTGCAGAAGATGATAAGAAGCCCAGCGAGAGTGGCTAATCAATCCTTGGCTGTGTTTGTGGAAAACAAGCCAACCTGGGCCTTGAGACTTGCAAGCATGTCTGTGCATTCTAAAGAACTCAGAGCCAATTAACTTCCGATGTGCGCAGGTTGTGTGCAACCTGATCCTGGCAACATGGCTGCTGTTCGAGATGCGGCGGCAGTGTTCCCAGCTTTCGGATGGGAGTGCCTGCATGCACTTTGAAGTCAGGGCATATGTACGCTGTCCATGCAGAGGGTGCCCGGGCCTATCAAATGTGATTCTGGTTTTCCATCGCCGCACTTTTCTGGATCCTTTGCATGCAGAAAACATGCACTTTTGTACTTGGGTGCCGCTGTTAAGCATGGAGACCAAATCGCAGATAGTCTTGACGAGGTTTCACTAAATAGCTGCCAGGTTTCTCTCAGTTGTTTCAGTCCAATGTAGAATTCCGGAGTATGTATATCTATACATCTATCTGTTTATCTGCCTAACATGTCATCACGCATGCCGCTGGATGGGTTCTCGGGGTTGGCGAAGAAGTGGGAAAAGACGGATTCCATCCGTCGCCGGCTCTGCTTTGATGGCCGCCTGCTCACTTGGTTGAAGCCGGAAGCTGTAGGTGTGCCCTCGTACGAAGCCGCCGTTCTCAACTACGACATACTGCTACCGTACTTCGAGCAGTGGGTCACGATTTGTTCGAAGCCTCGCTCCCCACGTGTTGGACCACTGGCTGCGGAGGCACTTTTGCATTACCTTTTGCAGCTATGGCTACGACGATTGATAGTACCGTATTATTATTTCGACGACTACGACTACGACTACTACTACTACTACTACTACTACTACTACTACTAGTACTACTACTTTATTTACTACTACGAGAACCACTACCACCACCACTGCCACTACTAACCATAAAACTTGTGCAGGTCACGGCACTCTGGGGCGAAACTGGGCGCAAACCCTCTGCTTCCCTGGACTGTGATTCATGGGGCCTGCGAAAGTTCATGTCGCACTTCGTGAAAAGGTTTACCCAGACAACATGTCCGAGAAATGAAAAGGTCAGGCACCTCAAACGGGTCTTGATGGAAGTGTGGGCTCCGCATCGGCTGGATGAGCTGGACCAGGTTCCAGAAGTTCCTTTGTCGGCGCTTATAGTGTTCATCTGGGAAGGATATCTTCAGACTCTGCATGTATGTGCCGGCTTATATAGGCTTATATCTGGTTTATGTGCCTGAGAAGACAACATGGGGTGCACAGAAGGTTCGGGACGTAAATGACGAATAGCTCAGTTGGTGGGCTTCCGAGATGTAGATGTTCGGTAGGGTAAATTTGGGTGGCCGGTATCCACCTCGAATCCTGTTCCAAGGGTAGATAATGTGCAGACAATCCAACAGAGTCGACACATCCCAAACGCTGTTACCTTAAGCCTGCATGCCCTCCACTGTGCTCGAGGTATGAAGGTGCATGAATACTTAGGAAAATCGAACCCCATGGACCCGAGTACAGGTGCCCTCGATTAGATAGATAGATAGATAGATACAAAGATAGGTATATATATATATATATATGTATACATTTATGTATTTATGTACAAATACTTCAACCCCTGAAACTCTAGCTGCTTTCAAGCCCTACCTCCTGAAACTCCACAGCCCTATCCTTTAATCCTGAATCCGACCAAATCCTGCACCCCAAACCGTAAACCCCTAAACCCCTAAACCGCTAAACCCCTAAATCTGGCCTTAAATCCCCAAATCCCTACACCCCTCAACCCTAAATCCCTAAACCCCAAACCCTAAATCCCTAAACCCTAGGCCCTTAACTCTAGCTCATGTATATATAACCCTAAACCTACACAGACCCCAAGCCACTGGAACTAATTTCCAGCCCGGCCCCATCCGCCATTTGCTCAGGAAGACGATGGTGACGAGTTCGCTGATGAGGACCCCGATGAGGCATTGCTTCGAGGAGACAGCCTGACAGTTTCCGAGGAGAACGATTCTCTTTGGGGGCAGGAGCTTGAGGCTTTGTCGCTTGAGGTTTCGGGGCAGGAGAACCAAGTCGTTGAGTCTGGTGATTATTGGGGAGGTTCGGGCGGAGTGAACAACGATGAAGTGCCGGCAGCACTAGCTGATGCGGAGCGGCCTGTGAACAACGATGAAGCGCCTGCAGCACTAGCTCATGTGGAGGGGCCTGAGGATTCGGGGCCTGTGAACCACGATGAAGCGCCGGCAGCACTAGCTCATGTGGAGGGGCCTGAGGATTCGAGGCCTGTGAACAACCATGAAGCGCCCGCAGCACTAGCAGATGTTGTGGACATCTCAGATGATGACAGCCGGCCTAGCAAGCCGATCCCTCCTCGAAACGATCGTATTGAGCTGATCAAGAAGCGGTTGGAGATGCTAAAGAAACTTGCAACCCAGTTAAGTGTAAGATGCTATTTCAACCGGTTAGTTATATGTAGTTATATGTAAGAACTTACAGTATGTATGTATGTATGTATGTATGTATGTATATATGTATGTATGTTTCTCGGGAATTTAATCCTCCTGTGAAAGCCTATAAACACCCCACTCTATATAGACCCTATAAGGTTTATGAGAGGTTTTGGGTTGGGCTGTATCAACCCAAACTCGTGGTCACTACTGAGGAAAGCCAAGGAGCAAAAGGCCACGTTCCGTCGAGATGCTCCGGCTGGGGCATCGTCCTGTGTTGATCCCAGTACCGTGTATATAAACCGGCAAAATTAAGCAAGTTTTGGGTCTTTGGGACATTTCTTGTAGTTGTACGATGTACAATTGTACTGCATGTGTATACAGTTGCAATCGTGTGTTGATCCTAGGTCGCATGGAGACTCAATGCGGGTTCGATGTCCAAGCATATGTGCATGAATGGGATGCTCCAGTCGAGCTGATTGAGGATTCCCAGCCACCGTTCCAGAGCTCTCTGAAGCCAGCCACGGAAATCCCGAAACCTACTGAAGAAGCTCGCTCAGACCCATCCACAGCCAAGCGAGCAGTGGAGATTGAAACAGCCCCCGAAGCTCCGCCAAAGAAGTCTAGGTGTGTGGAACCCAAAGCTGCTGAGGTGGCCCCAGCCAAGCCAGCGGTGGAGCCCGAAAACCCGAAACATACTGCGGAAGCTCCCTCAGATGCATCCACAGACAAGCGAGCACTGGAGATGGAAGCAGCCCCCGAAGCCCCGCCAAAGAAGTCTATGGAGCCCAAACCTGCTGAGGTAGCCCCAGCCAAGCCAGCGGTGGAGAACCCGAAACCTACTGCGGAAGCTCCCTCGAATGCATCCACAGCCAAGCGAGCAGTGGATATGGAAGCAGCCCCCGAAGCCCGGCCAAAGAAGTCTAGGTGTGTGGAGCCCAAACCTGCTGAGGTAGCCCCAGCCAAACCAGCGGTGGAGCCCGAAAACCCGAAACCTACTGCGGAAGCTCCCTCAGATGCATCCACAGCCAAGCGAGCAGTGGAGATGGAAGCAGCCCCCGAACCCAAACCTGCTGAGGTAGCCCCAGCAAAGCCAGCGGTGGAGCCCGAAACTTCCCCCAAAGCTTTCCCAGACCCACCCGCAACCAAGCTGCCAGCACTGACTCGGGGGACCCCGCTTACTCTGTCGGAGTCTTTGCAGTCCAAAGCCAGCGTGTACGAAGAGGCCATGCAGGGTTTCAAATAACAATGAACAGTCATGAAGTGTTCAAGTTTTGAGTGTGTGTCTTATTTTGGGGGGCCATTAATTGTGCTTCTGCTGAGATTCGTTTAACACCGTGTCACGGATTTCTTTGCGAATGGACAGGCCCAGACCAAGGTCACGACCAAGGAGGAACAGGATGCATTGATGGCAGCTTTGAGGAAGGATGAGCCCAAGGGTGGAGGCAAACGTGGCCGCGGCCGCGGCCGTGGTGGCCGTGGGAAAGGAGGTGGAAAGGCTGCAGACGAGCAGCCGAAGGCCGAGGAGACGACAACGGGGTCTGGGAACGGGGTCCCAGAGGCACAGAGCGCGAAGCAGACAGGCCGAGGGCGCGGCCGTGGTCGAGGCCGTGGAGGGCGAGCAAAGGCCGAGCAGCCGGGGGCGGACGAGACGACAGAGGGGATTGCGAACGGGGAGCCAAAGAAGAAGAAGGCAAAGGCAACCAAGGAACGAGGGGCCGAGGAGACATCCGGAAAACCGGCTGCCGAGGCATCCAATGCTGTGGTTCCTTCGGACCCATCATCGGCGTCCGTGGCCACAGCTCCGAATGGATCCAGTGCTCTGGCTCCGAGCGAGCCATCGTCGGCATCCAATGCTGTGGTTGCATCGGAGAAACCAAACAAGCGCAGCAAGAAGGATAACAAGGGTGAGAGATCGAGAGGGGATGTGCCCAAATTCAAGCATGTAGAACTCAGTATATACTGGACTAAGCATACGGTGGGCCTCAAGCCGAAGAATGGACCCGACAAGGGCAAACAGGCAAGGTCTGTGTACAATTGCAAGGGTCGTGCATGTGGGCTTGGGGTTTATAGAAACGACCTAAGGGACCACGTTTGTGTTGGTTTTGCCCGGAGGTTATCTCTGTGTCCAACAAGAAGGCAACCTTGTCCCAGAACATCAAGTATGCTGTGATGATGGCCAGCTTCCCAGGAGTCACAACCTACCTCGCTTAACCCTTTGCCCGTCTGCATCCCTCCCAGGCTGCTGTCCTCGAAGCCGGTGAAGGCAGGATGACTCCAGAGGTCAAGGTCAACGTGGAGCAGATGAAGGTGGATTTCCTTGGCATGAGTGATGAAGCCATTTCAAACTTTTAGAAAGTACAAGGGTGCATGGGTGCTGGGCAGCACAATGGGAGTGCTTCTATACGAGTGTGTACAAGGACTCAAAACAAGTCCTAATTATTCACTATAGAAACCCTATATTATGTAACTGTCTATTGATTTAACATACTTAGTGACTTAGTGGCTTATATAAACCTCCCAAACCGTAACTTCCCATGTGTACCCCAACCTATACAGTCCGCAATTAAAACCATGTACTGGGTACGAATATTGAATGAAGATTGCTCCGTCCCATGTCTGCCTGCTGCATCCACATTTTGATCGTGGCAGCACAGCACTACTTCCTGTGCGTACCCTGCAGTTGTCATGACGGCTGTGGGATTTGGGTTTTGGGGTGCTGTTGTTCGCACACGCCTCCGGCTATGAAAGCTGGGGTGAAGCATCGTCCATTGCGGTTTTTGAACATCCGACCTAGGGCTAAGTACGGGACTTAACAGGACTAAGGCAGGGTAGAAGGATGATTTCGTACAGATCCTATCAGGGTTAAGTTGCCATCTATATTCGCCAGCTGTCTTAAAATCAGACTGAACCAATCCTAGATTTAAGGTAATGATCACTCACTTCAAAAGCCGGGAAGGCTGTGCGGACTGAAGCACAGTTTGCATGGGCCTGATCCCATGCATCATGCAATCCTCGAGCCTGGCAGCGAGCCGGGCCTTCTGCGCAGCTTCCAAACATGTGCGCAAGGGTGTGCAAAATCTGCAGCTTTCAGCTTGCTCAGCTCACTGGCTCTCTGGTCTGATGCAACATGAGTGCAGGATTCTTTGTTTTGAAAATGTGACAAACACTTCAGTGGCCGAGGTCCTTTGAATCACGTCTTCTGCCGAGTGACAGAGGAGATCCCCGGAGGCATTCCGCGCAGAGTGGAATGTCAGAAGCAGAGTGCACTCCTGACCAGGATAGGCGAGTTCAGATTTCAGAGAGTTTCTGATGACTGTTGCTGAGCTCTTTGTATGCCTGTACTAGGCTTCGGTGTTGCCGGCTGTCGATCGTTCGGATGGGTCGGTAGTTAGAGGATCTATATAGCTCGTTCCCACAGTTGCAGGGCCTGGGACGATTGGCTCCGTCACGGCGACAAGGTCGTTGTCCGTTGCGGGGGAGGCCGGGGCTCGTGGGATAAAGTTTATATCGGGGTCATGGTCTGGGTAGGAGTAGTTCCTGTTGAACTAGGAAGGGCTTCAACAAACCATTGTTGCGAGGCTCGGGGCAAGGTATGTCCAGGTCCAGGTTCCTAGTGGTTCCCAGCTGCAACCGAGTTTCGAAACACAGCCCCAGAGCACACAAAGAATCCTGTATATGTAGCACCCTAAGACCCTATAAACCATCTAATCTTAGCCTCGAGAAACAGCATGTTTCCTTTATACTTCAATGGTGGTCGTCTTTTGTGCACATGCTTTGTAGATATGTAGTATATATAACCACAAATATATATATATATATACATATGTGTGTGTGTGTCTAGGTGTATGTATGTGTCACATACAAAAACACATACCTATACATGCCCATATAGATACTTCCACACACCAACACTTACACATATATACACACTAATAAGACTGTCTTAAATTGGGTTTTTTGTAGGTCTGGCTATTCCGAACTCTCCAGACCTGCCTGTGTCTTCGGAGGAGCCCCTTCCTGGACGGTCCTGGTTGTCAAAGTGCTGAGCAGGTGGGTCCACTTCTGGGGGGAAGGGGTTTTCTGATCAAGGCTATGTCGTTGTGGGCACATACAGAGCTGCTTTAAAAGAGAATTCCAAGATGTGTGCTTGTCCTGGCTTAAGGTTATATAATAGCTTTGGGATTTCGGGCTTCGGGTCGGGCTTCTTCTTGGGTGTATAAGGGTGAATTAGACAGGTCAGATTCAGAGTGGATCTGAGAATGGTACATGCAAGTGCCCTTTGAATCCCCAAGCTGTGCATTCTCACTGTACCGTAGTATGCTCAGGTGTGGCTGTAAAGCAATCAGTACGTCCTCTCCGGAGAATACCACACCAGAAAAGGCTCCCTACAGCCCTACATAGACCCTATATAAACCCTATACAAAAATCTCCTATATATATATATATATATATATAAACCCTGAACAAACCCCATGTATAAGCCCTCTATATAAACCCGATTAGAAGCCCTATATACACACCGTATATAAAATCCCTATATAAACCCTAGATAAACCCTATATAAACCCCTATGTAAACCCCATATAAACCTTATATAAAACTCTATATATACACCCTACATAACACACCTATGTAACCCCCAAAACAACCTATATAAATGCCCTCTCTAGACCCTATATAAACTTTATATAAACCCTAAATAATCCCTATGTAAACCACTATATAAAAACCCTTTTAAAACCCTATATAAACCCTCTCGAGAAACTCTATATAAACCCTAGATACACCCTATATATAAGCCCGGTATATAAACCCTATATATGCAAGCCCTATATAAAGCCGATATAGCCCTAAAACCTGTGGCCAGGCTTCGATGCCTGCATCCGTGGCTTCGAAGCGAGGCCTCACGAGTTCGACAGGTCAGCCCCTTCTCCCATGCATTGTGTTGCGAATGCTGGCTGATTCCATCCGGGAATCCTACTCCACATGCGATCGCTCCGTGTGCTGTATTCAGAAGGATCTTTGCTCCAGGATGTGTCTGTGTATTCCATTTCTACTAGTGCTTCCACGCCCATATTTGCAACCATCTTAATTCTATGTGGGGGTCACCTTGGGACCTATTAGCTGCTGATCATGGAAAAACATTTGTCGATGCAGGCATCTACATGGCCTTCCAATTTGATTGACAAAGAGTAGTTGTGTATACTCAGCGAGCAGAGCAATGGTTCAATCTTGGGAAGTGCCTCTTGTGGTCTCGCGCCTCATAATGAATGGAGCCCCAAAGGTCTCACAACTGCAGTGATTTCAGGTGCACGCAGATGTTCCTTGCAGTGCAATTGAGGGAGTCTGCATATAAGGCCTTCATACTACATGTGCTACTATCAAGTTGGCTGACGGCAGCCAAGCTGGGGTGTCCCAAGCAGACCTACGACATCTTGGATTTCTTTGCAGGGCAAGCTCGCCTAGCCTCCACCAGTAGAATGGTGAAGTTACGTGCAGCCGCGATAGATTTGCAATACGATTCTGTGGTGGGTCGGAAGGGTGGTATGGACCTCACGACGGCTGCCGGCTTCACGTACTGTGTCCGCAGTGGGAATGTAGAAGCACATACATGCACATGTGCCCTTGCTATACACAAGTGCACATGCACATGCTCCACACAGTCATGCATGTACATCCAGACTAACCACTATAACCCCATAGATACACACATCGACTTGCTGAAATGTGCACACCATGAACCGTGTGCACGTTTTCTAACCAACCATGCTTGGCCGAGGCTCGCTGTGATCCTGATCTTGCGCTGCCCCCTCGATGCAGGTCTCGTAATGTTCGGGATGTGCTGCAGCAGCTTTGTGCCTATATGCCGGGCATCAACAGGCAGAAGGGCAAACCGCCCGATGGGCAACACCAGGTTTGCTAAAGTTCGCACAGCAAACCTTCTGAGTTGCAGGTGGGCCCTGGGAAAAACAGGACTAGCTCATGCTGTGTGTGTAATGTTTCAAGGCACAGAATCGTCCTACTCTCTGCACATGTCGGAGGCTAGCTTTGCTTATCCAGCTGGCCGAAGCAGTGGGGGTCTGCTGGGTGGTGGAACAGCCGTCTGGGAGTCTGCTGTGGCAAACAAACCGTCTTGCAGCTATGAAGCGACGCTGGGAGGGTATGGTGGAGGCTGCTTGCTTTGCTACCATTTCTAGACCCCATTCTTAATTCCCCTGCAACGATGTCGTTGATCTTGTTCATGATGACTATGGCTAGCCGAGGTGTTTATGGCTAGTTTTTGGATGATCCATTACGGCAGCCCCACACCAAAGAGAACGAGACTTTGGTCATGTTCCTCAGCGATCTCCTACTTTGATCAGGGATCACTGACAAAGCGTGTTCTTCAACAACGTACGAAACACCGGACATCAACACGGAGAACCAATGCTGCTGGCAAAAAACAATACACCGGAAATGCTCTTCTGAAGGGCACACAGCCATGTCCTCAATTGCCATACATGTTGTGTTTGTATCCGATATCTCGTGCTGACTCCAGCATTGTCGTTAAGGTGTAGGGTTCCTGATCCTGTCCGGTGTTGAGGACCTACACATTCCAGTTTGCCAGACAGATCGTTCGCCTCCGGCATCTATTGCTACGACGGGACACCAGGTCTGTTCCTCCGGATCCTAGGCCCACAATGTTACAGCCCAAAGAGTCTTGTCAGTGTAGGTGTGTGTCTGTGTTGGTTGCATGTGCTTTCAGGAACTATATGGGGATGACAAACCACGTCGTAAGAAACTCCCGAGGACACTTCGCATATTGCCGACCTCCCGAGAGCCATCCTCGAAATGCCGATGGGTGATCTCTGGCCTGATGCGCAGCTGGCAGACTGTGTCATTTATTGTCGAGGCAGCAAGATGCTTCGGATCCCTAGTGCGGAGTGGAGATCGGTGCTACCCACCAGCATATGATGTTATGAAGTTCCGAATTGGTTGGGTCTGGGTGTGATCTACAATTTGTGTCGTTGTGCATTCTTCATTCTTGTTCTCTGGGGGCAGGTCCTGTCTAGGACTGTTAAAAGCGCGCACCAACCCAATCACAACACTGACGCGCAGCCACACACCGATCACAACCCTACGCGATCAGAGGCCGAATCTCCGCGTACAAAGGCCGAAAATAACCAACCACCGTGATCGGGCGGAAACCCGATCACGCCCGATCACTCCCCGGTGATCGGGGTGATTGGGTGTGATCGGGGTATTGGGGACCCCGAACCCCTCACCACACCCACGCTGTCAAATTAGCTAATTTGATAGGGCTTTGGGGTGGACTTTTTCTCTTCGTGGTGGGTGGGTGGGTGGCTGCTGGCTGGGTGGGCTTGGGGGGCTGTGGCTGGGTGGGCCTGGGCTGCTGGGCTGGGCTGGGCAGCATCATGAGCAGCAGCTGGGGCAGGGGCGCTAGTTGGGAGTTTACAGGAAGTGACCGGGGAAGGGAAAGGGGGGGGGTGGTGGGTTGGGGTGGGTAATGTGTGAATATATGTACGTATGTATGTATATATACACGAAAGGTAATTATACGTACATATGCATGCATGCATATTGTACATATATATATATATATATATATATATATATATATATACATATATATAGATACATAGATAGATGTGTATATATATATGTATGTTTTTTCTATAGCTATGGATATAGATCTGCATGTGGATGTAGATATATAGATATTAACTGTGTGTATGGGGGTTTATAGCCCCCCCCCCCCCCATCCATCCCATCCCACTTCCATAACTGTTCAACCTGGAATGTGATCTGATCTTTGCATGGTGCGTTTTTGCTCCATATAGCCCACTCCAGAGTAGATCTCGCTTTTGGATACACTAGACGAGCTGGTGGGTAGCCGTAGACAATTCAAGCACATGGCCAAGAGGCTGCGGAAGTTGACATCCCTGCTCTGGTCGGATGAAGCAGATGGGGTGGAACTCCACAGATCATGGTTCCAAGCCGAAGCCTGCCAGGCAGCTTTGGCCACTCCATGTGCAGCGACTGCTCAGATGGAGAAGATTGAAGCATTAGAGCAGGATAACAAGAATCTTGTGGAGATCAATCAAGCCCTTCGCAAGCAGCTGAATTGTTCTGGCAATGGTACTACAGTGAACCTTCCAACACTGCCTCGATTGGTTGTGAAGAAGAGGAAGACAATGTCGGGTGGGGGCCCTGGGGACTTTCTCAATGCTCTGCCTACAGACATCCGTGCCCATCATAGAACGCAGCGAATCTGCCAGGATTTGGAGCAGTCGGGATTTATGCCACTTCATGTATCTTTCGACCTTGAGGATTCAAAGCTGGGTTCCGCGATCTTAGACCACTGCGAGCTGTCCATTTCTACTTTGTGGAAAAAGTTTCCTGCCGTGTTTAAGATAGGAATTACACGGAATCCAGCTGAACGGTGGCCCTACTATGCCAAAGACCCTCATGATAAGTGGATGCACATGAGGGTCCTTGCGGCCCTTCCTGACTCCCTCAGCGCAGGCCTCGTCGAGGCAGCCATGATATCTAGATTCGAAGCCACGCCTGGGTGCAGGAATGTGCAGAGAGGTGGCGAAGGTGTTGATCACACAGGGGAAGGTCCCTGTTTTGTTTATGTCGTGTATCGGCGTCTCGTTCCGCCTGGACGAGCCTAGCTCCTTCCAGTTCTAGATACAGGCAAGTTTGTGTGTGTAGTTACGAAGGAATTGTTGGTTGACTACTGCCAGTACATCGCAACAGCACCTTTGTACTAAGAGGCTGCTAGCAGTCCAGATGCAGACTAATTTTTGCAGGCCCAATCGACCAGGGCATGTAGTGTCCCTGTGTTGCAATTCATGCATGGCTGCTTCTGTGCTCTATGCACAGATGCTGAACCGATGCTGACTGAAAAGCAAGTCTGTGTGCATGTTACTCAACCAGCCATGGCTTGTATACCATGTATATGTCTTGTGTGTCCAAAACTTCTTCCATATGATCGGTCCTCTCGAGTCTCCAGTGCTTGTGGAGGCTTAGCGCTGCGAGTGCTGTACTGGCTGCTATCGTCATGAGCAAGCCCCTTCAAAGCAACGTGTGGTCATCCGAGACCCTCAATGCCGCCTTGACTACGGTCGATGCGCAACAGTGCAAGGAAGAGATCCTTGATGCGGAGATTAAGGACTGCTGAGATAAATCCAAGCTTACTTGTCTAAACCCCTCCTGAATCCCTCAAGCTCCTAAAAGTTCCTTTAAAAACAAGGCTTATAAAACCCCCTATATAACCCTAAACTAAACCCCTTTAAACCCTATCAAAGGGAAGACTTACATAGCCCTTCTATAAAGCCCCACAAACCCCCTAAGGAAGCCTTACAGCCCCTGGCAGCCCATTGTATGTTTATAAACCCTTCAAACGGACGGCTTACATAATCCCAAAAGCAAACCCCAGGACTATTCAAAGCTTCTAGATACACCCTGTGTGTGTGTGTGTGCAGGACCTAGAGCGCCAGCTCGAGGAAGCCCGTGGTGGGCGGAAGCGGGCAGGGATGAGTAGTCCGAGCAGCACAGCAAAAAGCACCCCTGTGAAGCAGGACCTTAAGAAGCAGGCAACCGGCAAGGGTAATGGTGATCCTTCTGGTATGAGTCCTGGGAAAATCATGAGCAAGCTGAAGGAGCAGTTAGGGAGCCCATCCCCAATGAAAACAACTCCGGCCAAGTCGCTCTTCGTTACGCCGTTGAAGATGGGCAGCCTGCCTGAGAATGCGGATGCAGACCCCTACCTCGTCCTGGACAGCCCTAGCCCTTTTCCTGTCCAGTCTGCAGCACATCTGCAAAGTAGAGTTTGTTGAATCCTGCTGCAAGTCAAGCTGATGGCTTTGTGAACTTTTTTGTGTTCAATCGCTTGTGACACACCGTGTGATGGGTTTCACATCTCTATCCAGGACCCACTAAGCTAATAGTACTAGCTACCTTCTAACTATGGGGCCAGGTAGAAGCTTTTAGACTCAGTAATTATAGTGGGTCAGTAATTATAGTGGGCTTGTAATGGAGGCTTTATATAGGTTTGTATAGTATACAGAAACTTGAATCAACTCCAGTGTACGGAAATCATGTGTGTATATGTATATGTATATATATTTATATATATACATGTTTATAGATGAGTTATAAAGCCCCGACATAAGGCCCTATACAAGCAGTCACCTCGAAACTCGAAACAACCCAAAACTTTGTATAGCCGAGAACCCTTGCAATTCCCAGGCAGATGCTGGCCCTACTTACTTCAAAATTTGCAATGGGCCCCAACCAGACCCCTAAGGTTATGTAACAATCCTCGTATTCAAGATATATAATATTTGCAAACCATAAAGCCCCGACATAAGGCCCTATACAAGCAGTCACCTCGAAACTCGAAACAACCCAAAACTTTGTATAGCCGAGAACCCTTGCAATTCCCAGGCAGATGCTGGCCCTACTTACTTCAAAATTTGCAATGGGCCCCAACCAGACCCCTAAGGTTATGTAACAATCCTCGTATTCAAGATATATAATATTTGCAAACCCCTATCCAGGAATCCCATTGAGAGCCCCCGAAAACAATCCATGAAGATGCCGTAATACAAAACCTCAGTCTTAAAACAACAGAAGCCTATGATGATCCATCCCGGTACGGTCTCCCCACCCGAAACCCAGGCAGTGTGTGCTACTATGAGCCCTGAGAGCAGTGCGCTGGTGAAGGACCTCAGCGCTCAGCTCGGAGAAGCTGAGCCTGAGCCAGTTGTCGAGAAGGAGGAGGCAAGCTCGAGTTCCGGGCCGGATGCCCAGAAGACGGCGGTGCTCGAACAAACGATCAAGGAGTTGCAGAGGAAGTTCCATGAGAAGGAGAAGGAGCTGCAGGCCAGCAAAAAGAACCAGCCCCCAGCAGCTGCTACCGGGGAGACTGCGGATGTGAATCAGCAGGCTTCGGAGGAGCCTGAGGATGACGATGGCGATGGTTGCGGCAACCATCCAGAAGTTTCTCAGGCTAGACAGCAGCTGCGCAGGTTCTGCAAACGCCGTGCAAACGGCAGTTTGCTTGTTCCCGAAGACGTACACAACAAGTTTTGGTCAGGAGGCGCAGAACGCGCAAAATTGTTGACGCTCTTCCTGAAGAATGGCAGGGACAAAAGCATGTTCCTGAAAGAAGTGAAAGTGATCTCTGAGAAGGAAAAGAAAATGGAAATGCAGATCGCAGGTGACTACTACGAGTTGTGGGAGCTGCGGGACATTAAGAAGGTGCCGGAGTGTCCGGGTTGCAAGTGTGTGTCACATGTCACGATTTCGAAAACAATCTATCGGCTCCGCTTGCTTACTGCGAGCTCAGGCAGCGGCTACAGGAGATCGTTGAGTTTGCAAACCAGCATCCGGCTTTCAAGAGGGTTGCATGGCCTATCTGATGACAACAAGATGTGTGTGAGTGTGTCCGGGAGAAAAGAAACAAGCAAAGAAAGGTTGAGGGCCCTAACCTGTGTAATCATATATATATATATGTATGTATGTATTCATATATGTACATCTATATATATATATATATATGTGTGTGTCTGTAACGATATGTCTGTAGATCTATATCTATATCTATATCTATATCTGCTTCCATATCTATCTAGAGAGAGAGGGAGGGAGGGAGGGAGAGGCACACAGATAGACGGAGAAGGGCACAATCAGAGTTCTGCACGTCCGTTATGAACGCAGCTTCTTCTCAACAAAAATGTCCGAGGCTGACATCTACAACCCCGCCAAGATTCGCTATTGGTATCAAGACACAATGCGGGCAAGTTTCAGTGCCAGCCAGCTTCTTCGTGAACGCGAAGAAGTGAGCTACGAGCAAGAGGTGGCAGAGCACGAGGGAGTCGTGACCCTCGGACAGGACTTTGATTTCGCACCCGGTCATTTAGCAGAGCGTCTGCCAGCGGCTGCAACCGGATCTACTAAAGGGGGTGGCAATGCAGGCTCGGCCTCGCAAGCTACAGCTTCCTAGATTCCTACAGTCCCTAGATCGACTTCTTAACTGGGCCTTTTGTTGTTCTAATTGTGCACTTGTTCACATCCTGTCAGGGGCTCCCGCTATGATGGAGGACCTGGGCTTGCCGAACTTGTCCGATGGACAACAGCCTGAGGACCTGCTGATGACCTATGTGAATGGGCTGATGGTTCGCAGCTCGAAGATGAGTGATATGCTTTGCAAGATTGAGGCTTTAGCAGATGCTCCAGATGTGATCAAAGGGTACCTTGCCTTAAGTTGTCTGGTTCGGGTGCAGTTAGGGTTCATGTTAGTGTTTTGGGTTACGGACCATGAGGTTATATAGATGGGTTGTGTAAGGCCCTCCATGTTGAACCTGTAGTGTGTGATTCTTTAGAAGCTGCCCCCACCCTGTAATAGTGGTATAATAGGAATATAGTAGGGCCCTAATATCATCCTTAGAGTCACTATTACAGGGTGGGGGCAGCTTCTAAGTGAGTCTCGAATGTATGTAGATTATGTCCTTCGTGTAACTTGATCTAAATTGAAAGCTACCTTAAGCTAGGGCCTCCAACCACAACCGCAAAGATCCCAGCGGCAAAGTGTTGGTTCATACCACTAAACTCGTTTCGATTCATGTAGAACCCCAAAAAGTTCGAAGCCCTCAAAACCGAAAGACTCCATACATCCCGGAACTTGCATCTGATACCTTCAACAAAAGCCATAGGATAAGCTTCCTCCATAGACGTTCCGTGTATTGAAGAAGCCTTAATCAGCACAACAATAGATCTTTAGACCACATAGGACCCTGTATAAACTAAGCCCTGGATAACCTCATCCTCCTGCAAGGCTCGTGCCGAAAATCAAGGAGAACATCGCCGCCTGTGACAAAGTGCAGGCTGAGCTCAATGACATTTGGGTGGATGGGTCTGTGGAGGGCTTCACAAAAGCATCGAGTTTCAGCAGCAGTTCTTAAGTAGTGTGTCGTTTGCTAGCCCAGCAGTTCTGGGGCATGCAACAATACTTAGGAGGCAGCAGATGCAGAGTTTGTACAAGCAGGGCAAGCGCACGACTCTCGAATGCAATACGGTTCTGCTTTGAGGTATCGGGGACCTTGAAAAATTGGTGGCTTCTTGGGAGATGCTCTTAGGTTGCTTACTAGCGGAGCTTTCGTGAGTGACATGCTATAGCCAGTGGCCGCCGGTTTTTTGCAGTACCTACGGAGGGCTACACATGTGTTCGTTATATATTAGAAGGGTCCCCCACCCTGTACTAGTGACTATAAGGATTATATTAGGGCCCTATTATATTCCTATTATACCACTATTACAGGGTCGGGGCCCCTTCTAAGTTATACATACCACAACACTTATCACTTACTTGATCGCCCAAAACCTATACAGCCTCCACAGGCCCGACTAATCCCGTAAACCCCGAAAGATCCGAGGCACCGCTAGTAAGAACCCCATGCAAACTTCAGTTGACAGATTTGTACCACTGATAAAGCCACCAGTTCATAACCTTTGATTGGTCGGGACTTTACATTAACCGCTATAAACCTGGAATCCCGAGGAACAGAAACAATTAGTAGCTCTGTTCGTAGCTTTGGTATATTATGTATCCCTGCTGTATCCCAGAATAGAAAGGACACACCCAACACCCATAACCGCCCCCCATTGGTGTTCGTTCTCCGAGGGCTTTGGAGTCCATCAACCTGGACAGCCGTTGGCGTGCTGCCAATCCAAAGAAGCGGGCTGATCCCAAGAGTAAGGGTTCGCCAAAGGGTAAGGGGGGTACTAGTGCCCCCAAAGGAAACAACAAGGGGAAGCCAAGCGCAGAGGAGAAGGAGGCCAATCCGAAGGCAAAGCCTGAAACCCGTCGCAAGGGCAAGCAGCCCCCCTCGTGATCGCTGTGCTCCTTCTGAATTTTGCAGGATGGATGTGTGCACATCAGCAACTGAGTGTCGCTAGACTTCATACTGATTGTTGCACACATATGGCTTCAGCCGATTTTGACCTTCTCAGTGCACTCATCCTCGTGCCTGCATCACTTCGTGATCTGAAAGCATCATGAGACATCATCTTGAGTTGAAGTGCCGGTGCCATCACGTCGATGGTCTAGATGTGAGCAAAATGAGCATGCCTTCACACTTTCAATGTAAGCAATTGTAGTGGGCAAGTTCCATATATGCACTTCTAGACCCAACGCAGGTGATCCGGTGGTGGGGCCCGCTGCTCTCAACTTGGTACATTCTTTGGCAAATGGAGCTGCTTGGTTTCGATCTGCTCCAAATCATAGGATGGCTTCCCGTGAAAGATCCATGCAGGTTCCCGAAGGTTTCCTTTAAGGGCTCGATTGGTTTGCTGTATTTAATGCTAGCTAGGGCCATATGTATAGACATCGTTGTATATAAGCTACTCTAGTCATCGGAATTTAAAAGACTTACTTAATGTCTCTTGACCTTTAGTTCCACCCCGAAACCCATGGCCTCTCGAGAGATGCTGAGCTCGTGCAGTCATCGTCCGCCCTGGGATGGTCCGGGGTTTGGCTTGGGGCTCCGAACCACAAGTACGCATGCATGCGCATGCATCTGCCCTAACAATTCAAACACCCTGAGCCATATATAGATCCTACAGATGCTCTATAAAGCCCAAACCTCCTAGCTAGCTACAATCTAAAACCCCAAAGCCACCCAAAGGCTTCGGTCTATTTTTGCCAGGCTCGCTATTGACCCCCCAAAGCAACCAGGCCTATGTATACATCCTCTTAATTATCTACCCAGGTTGATCGCTCCAAGCACCATGCAGAAAGCTTCAATCTACCCATGTCAAACCTCCACACAACCACCCTTGCAATTTTTTGAAAGCTTCTAGCTAGCCAGGTACATGCAAGCTTCCAAATGGCTGACTGCCCACGAGCTCCACAAACCCAAAGCCCAACACCTGAAGCCCGAGTACCCAAAACCCGCCGATCCTATAGAAAGTCCCTGCAAGCCCTTCAAAGCTGCATGAACCCAACAAATGTTAGTGGCCGTGACGGAAACCCTGGGAGGTATGTGTAAGTGCTGGACACTGCATTCAAACCTGTATATACTGTATATATACTTGTGTAGTCAAGTACAATTATGGCATGTACACATGCATGTAGCTACATATATGAAGGTGTTAGTTGGCCAAACATACATGTGCAATTGTATACGTGTGATTATTTCCGTGGGTAGGCATGTGTGCATGTCTGTGTGATGCATGCTTTCTCATCTAAGGATACAGCTGTGAGTGTGGTGCGCAATGCGAAAGCTGTCGAGAAAGAAGCGCCGCTATTGTTGAGGGGAATGAGGCAACTTTCTGCTGTAAACCTTTCAAGGGCCGAGAGCAAGCTGCATGAAATCATTCGGTCTTGGGGAATGACACTCCCCCTGGACATCTACTACTTCTCCAGGTGCTTGCTTTTTGCTCCAATGATCAAATCCAGCACATGGCTGGAATTTTTGATCGTCAAGAAATCAAGTATCCTGTTGGGAGGATTCAACAAAGATGATCCTGGAGCAGCTGGGCTTTTGGAAGCCTGGTGGGCAGCGTACCGTCAGGACCACCCGAGCCATGTCATCTTCGAGAGTGGCAAGCCCCTTTCAAGATGCATCCCTGTCAGCTTGTATGCAGACGAGGGTCGGGGGCTACGTAAGGCTCCCGTTCAAGTGGTGGGGCTGGAAACCATGTTTGGTATGCACACTGCTGCAGAATACAGCAAGCTGTCGCCTGCGGAAAAGCAGGGAGGGCATGCAGCTTTTTGGAAAGCGGCCCGACACACGGGCTCTGGATCTTCCTTGGTGTCCCGGCTGCTTCTGTATGTACTACCACACAGCTCCTACAAAAAAGCCAAGCGTGAGTTCTGGTACCGGGCTATGGAGTTTGCCACCACTGACCTCAAGAATGTTTGTGAAGGTGGCATCACATGTGATGGGGCCACGTGGTGGCCTGTTTTCGTAGGAGTGAAAGGAGACGCACCTGCCCTAAACAAAATAGGGCGCTTGACGAGGTCGTTCCAACATTGGCAGGGAAAAAGCGGTACGTGCCCGTACTGTTTGGCTGGGCGCGAGAACATTCCTTGGGAAGACATGGGGCCGATGGCTTTGTGGCAACAAACACTCTGGCAGGAGCGACCTTGGTTACGGCGGCTTCCATCGCTTGTAGCTGATGTTCCTTTTTGCAACACTGCTCCGGAGCGAGCTTTTCGTGCCGACAGTCTACACGTCATCAAACTTGGAATCGCCAGGCACTTCATTGCAAGTGCCATCATAGTGTTCGGGGAGTGGAATGTTTTCCCTGGAGCTGATGAAAGTGTCGCTGCACTGCTTGAGGCATCGCATGAGGACTTCCTGTGGAGTTGCCAAAACGAGCTTCACCAGACACCTCATTTAAAGATGTTCTCGAAAGAAGGCCTCCACTGGCCACGGATACAGAGCTTTCCGTGGGGAGGATGCTTGTTGCACAATGAGCTGTTCTTTTTTTTGTTTCGTGCCCAAACAGATATCTAGGCTTAAGGAGGTCCTGAAACATCCTGGTCCGTTTGTTCTTGAAAGATTTTCAACACCGATGGTGTGCTGATTGTTTTGCCAGGCTGGAAAGGCGCTGACAGCATGATCTTGCTTCGTTGGCTTCTTCGTGTGCTGCAACTTGGCCCTGTCGATTTCAGTGCACAACCTCCAGCCCGAGTTGGCAGACTTCCTGACTTTGGTGCCGAGAAATCCGCAGTGTTCGGGGCCGTGAATGATGGATGTGTGGCACTCATCCGCTACTTTCAACTTGTTCACAAGCGTGGCCTTTTCCTTACTGCTGAAGATGGTGCTTCTGTGGTGGCTGCTCTAACCTTGTTTTGCAATGTGTACACGCATTTGGCGTACAAGTTCTTGGCCTGGAGGGTGTGTAGGTTCCATTTGGAGCCGTCCTTGCATACATGCAAACACATCGGCCATCACCTGGAATTGGCAATCCGAAATGGGGCTACTGTTCTGATCAACCCCGCAGCATGGCTGTGTGAACAGTCGGAAGACTTCGTAGGCCGCATTTCTCGCATCACGAGACGAGTTTCAGCTCGTCTCACTGGACAAAGAACATTGCAACGGTACTTAGTGAAAATGTACCTCGAGCTGCAAAGGTTGGGCATATAGGCAGTGTGTGCGAACGCCAACAGTGTGTATGAACATTATGTACAGGCCCCTATAGCTAGTCCTACAAGTCCCTAGAATAATACAGTAGATGTGTGCATTCGTGTGACTATATGTGTGCCCAGCTTAATTCACATGAAGCTACCGAGCGGCATGGCTCATGGCAGAGCTCCGGCAGCACC